GATCCACAGAGCTGAAGAAAAGCAATAGAGAACTGACTGGCAGTGGAAGGGTTAATAATCCAACAGTGCCGAACAGCAGCGTAAGTTTTAACTGCAGTAGGTGTCAAAGTAACAGTGAATAAAACAGGCAGGTGATCCGAGAACACAGAGTCACAGGTTTCCAGGTTAGTCGCAGGCAGACCGCAGGAAATAACCAGGTCCAGTGTGTGTCCGTGTTCGTGTGTAGGGCCGGAAACGGCCTGTACCAGGTTAAAAGAGTCCAGAAGGCTTAAAAAGTCCTTTACCAGAGGCTTTTCGGGACAGCACACATGTATATTGAAGTCTCCAACAATAAGAACATGTTGATAGTTAGTTAAAATCCTAGATAAAAAGTCAGAAAARTCACTTATAAAATCCTTATTGTATTTGGGGGGGCGGTAGACGACAGCACAGAAAACTGGGTTTACGTGTCTCATCTCAAAAGACGTAAACTCAAAGCTGGGGAATGATGTCTGTAGAAAACACTGCTTACATTTGTAGTCCTGTTTGTAAACAGTCGTTGTGCCTTCCCCTCTCCCCGAAGCCCGTGGTGAGTTAAAATAAGAACAATCCGCTGGTAAAAGCTCAGATAGAGCACTGGACTCACCAACACTCAGCCACGTCTCAGTCACACATAAAAAATCCAGGTTTTGGCAACTAAAAAAGTCCCGAAGAATAAAAGTTTTATTCACAAGCGACCTGGYGTTTATCAGGCCAATCCTAACAGGAACTGGATCCTGGGCTTCGACAGGTTGGGAAACTCGGCACAGCGGTCTCAGGTTTTGGAGACACCGTCGGCGCATRTTGAGCCGGGAAGGGCAGGGGCGGCGTTGTGGAGGGGCTTGAACGCCGACCACTGGCACCAAGCAGACATCAACGGGATCCAAGAAACGCCGTGGCACCCGAGAGCCCAGAAACGATCCACGCGATGATCGGGTAAAAGCAGAACAGTGCGTCATGTAAAACTTCAGCTTCACCAGCCGGCCGCTTCGTCTACCRCGACGACGATGACGTCTCCGCCGTGAAAGCAACGCAGGAACCCGGAACAAGTGGCTTGGAATCTCCGACAGAAGCGGGGGCAGGGATTGTTGGCCAGCAACATCTAATAACTCCATATCCTGGACCAAAGGTTGGAGGTCTATCAGTGTGTTACGATCGTACACCAGCAGAGACTCAGTTCCGTAGATGACACAGGTCAGAAACAGTATAAACATCAGCATACGTGAGAATGACAGACGAGCAGCCACACACACCGGCGCCATCTTGCCACTTTTCCTCATGATTTTCCTCAAATCATGATAATGACTGTCACAGGAAAAGTGGAACCACTTCTTTTCTTTTATCGTGTCACAATGTTTTCATTGTGTTTTTATGTAAATCACTGTTTTTACTTTACTGTGAACACAGTAATATAACTGTGGATTTTTCCTGAGAAAATCTTTCATTTATCTGGACTAACAGAAGGTTCAGAACTGATTCTAAAACAGAAATGTTAATTAATTATCATAAATGTTTTGCAGTGATTTCTCTTAGTCTATCTGAAGAAAGCTGAAAAGAGGTTATCATATCATGTTGTTGAACAACCACAGAATTTTAACCTTGGGCTGGCGCCGGCTGGCAAATCTTTATCTTTC